TACTTTGACCACATTTCCGTGTTAGATCTAGTTAGACAGATTTCCAGATCAACGGATTTGTCTCTCAGTACGAGCATCAATTAAACCTATATTATATTGTAATCGACCATTATTTAAAGCAAATGCATCTTTTTAAAAAATTCTGTTTACACTCTTCTATCTTTTCAATCGTCTCATGGTCTGAATTTACCGAAAGAACTTGGTCCACTGCATTTGTAGACAGAGTTCATTTCAAGAACATCCGTTGCGCTGGGACCAGCTCGCTGACCAATGAAAACCTACACAGAATACCAGAAATAAAAAACCAATGTTACTGAAGTTGGGTGCTTGTTTGTTTTCTGTTTTTATTAGTTTTTTTTTTTTCATGGTTTGATTGATGACCCTCGCGCTTCGTGAAACTTTACACCTACCCCGCTCTTCTTGGGCACGATTGTCGGCTTTCTATTCTTACTGAAATATCTGGCCCCATAATGCATTACACTGCCATAATCGTACGCGGTTAGAAGCGTATTGACAGAAGACGTTCGGTACTTTCTGAAGTTTCCGGCTCTTCCTACGAGAAAGTAGATCAAGGGAAGAGGATGGTGTCAAAAATAATTTGGCCTGTGTCCATGCTTATCTTGATCTCGCTCTAGTTTAGAGACACATCACGACAACGATATATAATGCAATCGTTACGCTCGCCATGTTGAAAACTCAATCGCATTCTAGCCAAAGTCTGCCAACCAACACCTCACTCGTAACGGAAGATTTTGATATTTTTTCGCCTTAATAGGCGTATTTTCGAGATTGAAAGGTAGTATGTAGAATGAACTTGAATCAATTTGATAGCAAAAGCAGATCCATGCAAACACTGAGATGATGGAGCACTGGAAACACGTTTGCGTCAATTTTCATTGCCAAGACTTACTTAATTTTGGAAAATCCTATATATAGCTTGAATATGGCCTGTCTCTGAAAACGTTCGGCATTATTCGGATATGATCGAGTGACCGATAGAAGTGCTAGCACTGTGATAATGAACTCCCTCGCCTTTGATTAAAAAACGCTGATAGGTATGTTACGATCGACGTTGTTGAACTGGAGCAATTAAGCAATTATTGGATGAGGTTGAGCATGTTATCATGAATTATTATATCTGAATTATTTGCCAAAGCCGAAGGTTGAGGCAGATGATTTTTACGCGATAATTTATGACATCATGTGAAAATCGAATTTAATAATTGTTATATTTTACAGTTTTTTGAAAACAACTGAACTGAGTATGCAAAAGTTAGAGAACACTATACGGACAAGGGACTTGGAAACTAAGCAGACTTTGAACTCGACATGATAAATAAAATATCCGTTGCAGATATTGGGTTATCATTTCAACTTCACCTGCTATTGTACATTGACTGAATTTTCTCGACCAAGCAGATATTTTATAGTAAGTCTAGCTAATATGTATGATAATCCAAGTTATTTATTAACCTGTAGACTATTTGAAATATTGAAAAATGTTCAGTGTCTTTTGTCGACGCAGATAACAGAAAAATCGTATCCATAAACAATAAGGCTAAAGCTAATAATAATAGTACCTACCATCTTTAATGTTCTCAAAGTGTATAGTCACGTAATCATCTCTGTCAGGGCGGGATTGCTCGTGAAAAAACCCGAGGGCATGGGCTGCAAAGAAAAAAGAAATTCCGTTTTTATCCTTTTGAGTAAGTTAGCGAAAGAGTTTTTTCAGCGTTTGTGGAGCAGGAGGGTGTCGTTATGGAAATGAAAAAAGTATGAGGGCTCATTTCGATAAAGTTTTGCGATACTGTACAAGCTTCATTGGTCCCTTGGTTGGTCCTTCGAACCCATGCCACTTTCTTATCCAAGTTAACCATGCCATTGGTTTTGTTTACATACGGGC